CTTTGCAGCTTGTGCATGCCAGCACTGCCTGAGAGAGGTGTTCTTGGGGGAAGGGAGGAAGAACAATTTGGAGATTAGGAAAAAAAAATGCTTTTAAACAATCTGTAGATGAGCTAACTGCAAAATTTCAGTTTGTCTCTCACTGAGACTCACTTATTTGTGATTTACATGAAAATAATAACAGTTTATTTTTGTGTATGTGCAACCAGCATTTAAATAATTTTCTCTCATTAAGTACTTGCTTGTGTTTGCTGCAAAGCAGTGCTGGCTTGGAGTGTGGCTCCACTGCAGTGGCCGTGTTTTGGTGTGTTCTTTCCTCTGTTCTTTCTTTCTTCCTTTTTGGAATTTACTTGGTTTCTTTCCTTTGACTAGCATAGCATATCGTCGTGTCATTCGTGTCTATCAGTATGAAGTTGGGGATGATCTATCTGGAAGGTTTTTTCCTCTTATTTTCTTACCTCACTTTGGTTTTCAAACGCACTTGTTAATTCCAAGGCTCGCTTTCCTTCCAACTAACTTTCACGGCTTAGAGATGCTTGGAGGTTTGTTTCCCTGTTGGTTCTTTCCACGGTTGGTTCCCAGCTTCCTGCTCAAGGCTCTGGGCGTGCGCTTCATCTCTAGGCAGGCGTTGAGTCTGAGCCTTAACCCTGTGGTGAGAAACACCCAGATGTTTGGTGCATTTTCATTGCTACAGAGTGATTCAGCACTTGAAATCCCCATTCTCAAGAAGCTCAAAAACATGTGGGAAGACAGAGTCCAGTGGGGATGAAAACCTGGTTTTAGTGACTGAAATACCAGAGATTCAGGTTTCAGGAACTTTAATACCCCAGAGTCAGAGGACACCCCACCTGCACAGCACCCAGACTCACTGTCCATGTCTGGGTCGTCCAGTGCGAGCTCTCACCGTACGTGTTGGAAGGACAGAGATTCCCAAACACGGCTGCTTAGAGATTGCTTGGGATCTTGGGGTGGGGGAAAAGCAGCATCCAGAGACTGTCCATAGCTAGTCTGTATGAAGGAGATCTCGGAGCCCCTGGCCACTGTGGGGACCTGCATGTAAAGCTCAGGGTGGAAATCACTGGGCAGAGTGGCTGAACCTCAGCTGCTCTGGGTGCAGCATGGAGAGGTGGGGTGGGAAAGGCACCTTTCCACCAGGCACTGCTGAGCAGCAGAGGTCTGTAGCTCTCTGCAAGGATTATGCCACATTAAGGTTACTTTTCAACCAAACCAGTAGTTCTCACCATCTTTTTTTACCCTCATTTTCCCCTTTGTAACACACCTTTGTAGAGCTCCTGTACCTGACTGCAAATACAGCCCATCCCCAGTGACTCACCTGCAGTTGGTGTGTGTGGTGTGTGCTGGGCACGGGGCAGGGGGGTGGGACTGCACTAAATTCTAATTCCATGAGGTCCAGTAAAGCGGGTGCTTTGAGTCTGGCATGAAGTGTGGCTGCTGATCACGTTGCCTTTCAAATGGGGCTAGAAATTAACTATTTACAGAAATAAGAATCAGACAAAATGTACAGTGTCAGTCTGAAATAGGATGAGTCAGAATAAACAAAACACAAAACCAGTGTATAAATATCTGAAAGGATTTTTCATTTCAAGGAAGGACTGTTAATTTCAAGCCCCACATGCCATTTTTTTATGAGATAAGTGCCTTCTCTCACTGTTGTTTTGTGTTTAGGTCATGTATGGTGGAGGAATCAGGAACACTGGAGTCGCAGCTAGAAGCTACTAAAGTAAGTGATGGGCACCTATGGATAAAACAGCATTTCCAGCTGGCTTGGGAACTCAGAGTGGGAAGGGAAATGCATGGAATTGTGTGGGAAAATCTTCATTTATTTTAGACATTTATAATACTGAAGAGACCTCTGGGATTATCTGTTTACATATCTGATGTCTGCTTACACCGCAAGCCATTAAACAACACTGATGTAGTTTTCCATTTTTTTCCTTTTTCCTAAAGGAGGTGGGGTAGGGCAGAGAGGATACAGTATTTTTAGCACATTTCCTAATAAGAAGTTTTTTAGTCTCCAGAACTGCTTTGCAAGCTCTAGTTTGCAATAGTGAGCATGAAGATGAACATTGCTCTGAATCTTATTTCACAAATCCCAGCATGTGGACATAAAGTCCTAGGAGAAAAAGGATAACCCTTCCCCCCCTGCCAGCCTCTGTTCTAACTTTAAGTTGGAGGTTTTTTTGGTGCTCCATGATTTCTCTCCTCTTTGCTCCCTTCTCACAGCGCAAGCACCAAGAGATCCGAGCTATGAGGAGCCAGCTGAAGAAGATTGAGGACCTTGGAGCAGCCATGGAAGAGGCACTTATCTTGGACAACAAATACACAGAACACAGCACTGTGGGGCTGGCACAGCAGTGGGACCAGCTGGACCAGCTGGGGATGAGGATGCAACACAACCTGGAGCAGCAGATCCAAGCCCGGTACTGCCTGGCCCATGTGTGGTTTGAAGTGTCTGACTGGGGTAGGAGGAAAGACAGGAGCCACAGCTGCCCATGCCTGCAGCCAGCCTTGCATGGTCTGTGCTAAAGTCTCCTGTGCTCAGAACAATGGATGCAGTGAGCTTGTGCATCCCCACCACCTCCCAGTTCCCTTCAGAGGGATGAAGTGAGCAGTTTTGGAATAGCTCCTGTTGGCCATGAGCAAGGGTGGGATCTTAGCAGAACGGTTTTATTCTGTGGAATAAGTGTGTACAAGTGTTCCCAATGGAATGGCTGCTTGCTCCTTTGTCCTCACCATGTGGTGCAGCTGCTGGACTCAGAGCACCACAGCTCAGGAACTCAGCTTTGCTGCTTCCTTTTCAGGAACACCACTGGAGTCACCGAGGAGGCCCTGAAGGAGTTCAGCATGATGTTCAAGTGAGTTTCAAGGAACACAGGCCAGAGGAAGCCTTGGGAGATATTTCTGGCACATGGACAGCTCCTGTTTGCAGGATCCATTTGTGGCTCCTTTGTTGTCTGCCCCACTTTGTGCTGAGCTGCTCCATTTTCTGCCAGAGGGCAACAGCCTGCAGCCCCTGCTGCTGACAGTGCCAATGCATTCCAGCTGGGAATACAGCTGGGGTTTTGTTGGTGGGGAAGGGGTGATTTTTAAGCAAAGTTAAGAATTTGTGCATGTTTTTCATGTATGCTAGATAAAACTATTTATTGATACAAACTCATTTGTACAGAATAGGGGCTGGTTATAACCTTGATCTAGTTTTCAGCTCACTTTACAGCTCTCAGGACTCAATAACTGACACACGTGGATTCTGGCTTTATGTTTTTAGGCACTTTGACAAGGACAAATCTGGACGACTTAACCACCAGGAGTTTAAATCTTGCTTGCGCTCTCTCGGCTATGATCTGCCCATGGTTGAGGAAGGAGAGCCAGACCCTGAGTTTGAGTCTATTCTTGACACTGTAGATCCCAACAGGTGAGTTGGACCTTTCTGTACTGCAAAATACATGGAGGTGTTGGCTGGGGAGTTGGCTGGAAGGTCCTTCACAGGCTAAGAGCCTTGGCTGTTTTTACAGTCACTCATGTGAAAGCCTTAAGGAAGGCAAGACTGACGTTTGTAAAGAAGAGATTCACTTTGAGAGGATGATCTGGTGTTGAGTCTCCTGCGTTAAGACTTTCACTCATTCCAGAACAGCTCCAGCCCCTCTCTGGAGGGCCTGGCAGTGCTGTGCTCTGGGTGCTCACACTGTGTTTTGCTGGCAGGGATGGACACGTCTCGCTGCAGGAGTACATGGCCTTCATGATCAGCCGGGAAACGGAGAACGTGAAATCCAGCGAGGAGATCGAGAGCGCTTTCCGCGCCCTCAGCTCCGAGGGGAAGCCCTACGTGACCAAGGAGGAGCTCTACCAGGTAAGTGCTGGTTGTTGACCCCAGGGAGGAAAACACAAGACTTCTGCTCATAGATAAAGCCCAGCACTAATGGCTTGGAGGCTCATGTCACTGGGGCTGAGTCAGTTCTGACCGTGCCTGGGGATTCCCTGCAGCAAACAGAAATTGCTGTGTCAGCCCTACTCAGTTGCTTTCTTGGCTCTACAGAGGAAGAGGAAAAGCTTTAGGTACCAAAGAACTGCTCAGGTTGAATAAAACAAGAGCTAATCAAAGGCCTTGTAAGGGAGTGCACTATCCTCAGAACTTCGCTTCCATCATTTGGGAAATTAGATGGTGGATGTTTCTTCAGACAGCAAATTCAAAGAGCTTGAGCCTAAGTTTAGACAGTATGAACATCTCCTCCCTCTCACTGCCCTGCCAAAACAGCAAGTTTTTCCTGTCTGAATACCACTAGCTGGCAGGGAAATAAAGAGTTTGCAGTGTTTCCTTGTCCCAGTTACCTGCTCTGTCTTCTGTTCGGTGGGAAGACTCTGGTCAGGCCTTCCAACCCTTAACCAAATAGTGCCAACAGCCAGAGCATTTCCATGCTGGGCGTAGTGCTGCTCTGGCTTCTGCCCCGGGGAATGGGAGGGCTGCCTGTCAATGCCCCTTGGCAGCCCCAGAGCCCTCTCACCCCCACGCTGTCTCTCTTTCAGAACCTGACCCGGGAACAGGCCGATTATTGCATCTCTCACATGAAACCCTACATGGATGGCAAGGGCAGGGAACTGCCTTCTGCCTACGACTACATAGAATTTACACGTTCACTCTTTGTGAATTGATCTGAAACACTAGCACCAAAAGATGCAAAGGACATGCTCACGTTTGCTGACTGTAGCTCTGCATGTGTCTCTCTCTCTTTGTGCTCTACAATAATCAATGTTACTTTATGATGTAACCTTAAAGTGCTTAGCTTAAAACTCTTAGGGAAAAGAAACATGTTGCAGTGTGCTTGAATAAAAGTTACTGGTCGAACCACATCATCTTGTGTTTAATGGTTAAATGCAAATTTAACTGTTGTGTGGAGGCAACTCCAGCTGTTGGTTACCTGTGTTTTCCAGGCCAACACTGGAACAGGTGAGTGGGGAATTGTTCCTGGAGTCAGGGCAGTTACAAGCTTCACGCAGCTCTTGTGCTGCTCCCTCAGTCCATGATCTCACTTGCCAGCTGCTCCAGGTGACTCATTTCCCTTGGTCCCTGCTCGGTGAAGTCGGAGCTCAGCTGCCAGACTTTGACTGTCCCAGCAGCATCCCCTGCTGCCAGGAGCCGCGTGTGCTTGGTGTTGAATTCCAAACAATACACAGGGCAGTCAGTCACAGACTGCTTCAGGGACACCGTGGGCTTCTGCGTGCTCCGGGCCAGGTCAAACAGGTGCACCTCTCCTGCAGACACAGACATTCATTGCAGCTTCATGGCAACAGACATTGTATCAGCAGGTGAGTATCTGCTTAGTCTGGCACTGAGAGCTATTTTTAACCTGTTTCCCCTGCTGATGGGTGTCTAGGCTGTGACAGACAGCTGACATTACTGCAGGCAGCATGGATTTGTTCTACTGTCAGAAACCTTAAACCAGCTTGCCAAATTCTGTGAAATCTCCAGTCTTTAACTCAAAAATGTTTGGGCAATTTTCTAAGGAAAAGCTTTTCATTTTAAACCATTAGTTCTGGAAGTAGATGTCAAAAACAAGCTGGAAATAGATTTAGCCACAGTGTTGCTGTGCTGTATTCCTGTGAATGACTGTGGCAACAGATTTAAATGTACCATCAGAAGTGAAAAATAACTGCTGGTTCACCTTGTTAAAGTTAGAAATTACTCCTTTGTACTAATTACACAGTGAAAACAACGGCCACTGCTCTGTGCTTGTGGGATCTGCTAATCAGTACAATCAATCTGACTAAATAATACACACTCTTAATTTTATGCTCAAGAGGAGGCACCTGCAGTTACTTGCCTTCCCCAGACGCAGCTGCAAAAACCAGTGGTCGAACGGGAGACCAGCACACACAGAACAGGTATTTCTTTGATAACTGTAGAGCAAAGAGGGGCTGTGTCTGCAACATGGAATGCAAGTGAACTTGTCCATCGGTCCCACAGCTCAGAAAGAGGTTCCTGGGGGAGAGAGGAAGCAAGAAACAGCTATTTTTGTTGTATTGCTAACGATAAAGAACAGAAATCAGTCAAGGAGCATGACCTCGGACAATATTCCTGCTTTGTAAAGGTCTGTGTTTCCTAAAGCAGCAATTGCCAGGCTGTGCTGTGGGCTGTTTGTTACTGCCCTCAATTAAGCTTAATGAGGGCTTGTATTGACCGCTGATGGGTTGTGGCCCAGGGCTGCCTGAGAACTGCTGATCTGGAGCTGGGCATTGTTCGAGCTGGGTTTGTCTCATGCAAATTAAATGCAAACCTGGGTTGTCAGCATGTTTCACAGACACGGGGCTTGGGGCCTCCGCGGATGATGGGTGAATTGCTGGCAGAGATGGGAGCTTCTCTTTAAATTCTGGCAGCTACTAATGTCAGAAGAATCTTCAGCAAGATACTTAGTGATCTGCCCAAGTGAAGAACTTTTTCATCTCCTTGGCTTTAAATTGAGTTTTAATTGTAACAAACAGGATCATCTCAGGAAGGTGCAAATATTCTTCATGTGCCCACATGCAGCACAGTCCAGCAGGCAGCTTCACCAGAGCCAGTGGACGTTTGGTTTTTTTTTCCCCACAACGGCAAGTTCCTAATGCCAGGTGCCCCTTCTTTGGAACTTGTGCACCCCCAGGGGCTGTTTTGTGTTTAGAGCCCGGCAGTGATGTGTCCCACATGCAGCACTTGCCTGTGGAAGGGCGAGCAGCTCACGGAGTACACGGGCCCAGCGTGAGGGGAGAAGGCGAGCTCTGCCGGAGCCCTGAGGGGAACGGAGCCGCCAGGCCGCGGGAGCGCCGGGCGCTGCGCCGCGGTGGAGCACCGCAGGCAGCAGCCGCCTTCCACACCCACAACGAACACACCGGCATCGAAGTGTGACAAGGACAGCGAGGTCACCCCCACGGCTGCCTCTCCCCAGCCCACCTGCCAAGGAGAGACAGAGCTGGTGTGAGCTGGGGCTTCCCAGAGAGGCACACGCAGGCAGAGCCTGCTGGGGACACAGAGGGCTGGTCACAGCACAGCTTGTGACAGCTCCGTGTTTGTAGGACTGAATCCTTCCTACAAATGGCTTCACATGAATTAACATTACAAGCAAGTTCTCCATCCTGGCAACTAACTTCTCTTTAGAGCATGGTAAGGCCTCAGCTGTTGTCACTCTTCCAATAATGATTTCTGTATGGCAAAGGAGCTGTGGCTCAAGGGTGTTTATGTTCAGAAGGGGCTTTTCCTGGCCCTTCTTGGGCAAGCTCTGACACTTGGGCTCCAGGGTTCAGAGTGTTTTTATGGAAAGATCACTCTCTGAGCTGCTGAACTCACCTTCTTCAGCCGAGTGCTGCGAGGGATCTGCTGAGCCACGATGGCAAATCCTTCAGCCAAGGCCAGCCGCCCATCCCGCTCCTCCCTCCACACGAGGATCTTCCCGTCTGTTGCCACACTCAACAGCCGGCCGTGGTTTCTGTGCTTGGCGTCAGGCAACCAGTTAACCTGTTGCAAATGCCACGAGCTCAGGACAACGGGGACTGTCACAACTGCCCAGCCCATGCAGTGACACAGGAGCAGAGCCAGGCACCAGCCTGGTACCGAACGAGCTTCTGCTGGGAGCTGGCACAGACTGATGCAAGGAGAGAAACACGTCCAGTGTCTAGGGCTGAATCTCCATTGCAGTTTCTATTGCAGGTTCACCTGCCCTCAGTTTTGGGATGGGCATTTATGGCACTTTCACCCAGCTCCAAACAACAGCATTTTTCTGAGTAGCAGATGAGAAAAATACACAGAATGTCCAGAGTCACAAGGCTCCAGAAAGGCAAAATCCTTAGGAAGCCAGACTGCATGACATGCTTGTAAAACCCCTTAAAGCATGTGGCTTTAAGCTTCCAAGGATCAGTGACACTTTCCCATTTGTGTTTTTAAACCACTCCAAGTATCACTGGCTGCAACTCCCTTAATAAAAAATTACAGTTTGGGAATTAGTCTGCTTTTCATTTATTCTGGACAGTGAGAAGTTATTTTTTACAGGCTGTCTGTTCAGGAACTAGATTTGGGAGGGAATAGCCAACCAAAAAAGAATATAACTGCTGAAATGTCTGTGAACTGCCTGGCTGTGGATGGGAACCAAAGGGATGACACAGAGCAGTGGCAACTCTCACCTGGCCCAGCCCTGTCTGCTGCCAGTGTTCTCTGTTACCTGATAGACTGTGTCAGTGTGGGTGTCATCTGTCATGCCTGTCCTCCAGATCACAGGGTCTTCTGTCCTGCTGGTGTCCCACACCACCAACTCCCCACTGAACAGGCCACCTGAAAGGACAAATACAAAACATCTAAGGTCTGACAGCTCAGAACAGATGCACAAATGGAGCAATGGTGGAAAAAGACCCACCAGCTTCAAAGGCTGGGCAGTTCTGTGCGTGGGCCCAGGTGTTCTGGTGTAAGAGAATATTGCTCTGCTGAAATAAGTTTATTCCCTTACAGCCAGGGCTGGATTTCCTTCTGTCACCTCTCTCTGAGAAGGGCATATAAAGGCAGGTGTCACTGAAGAAGCAGCAAGTCCCAGTTCAGATGTGACAGTGCACTTATCTGTGTAGGTAGGCATTAGTTCCTCAGTTTGAGGAGCTGCAATGCTGTTCCTTTACAGGAAATCTGAGGCTGCACTCAGAGAGAGAAACCAAAGGATCCAGGCTGCAGGAAAAAAGGGTATGTTCCAAGCATGGTCTGAGGTAAGAACAACGCACCAGCTATCAGTGATGGCTGGGAGGGATGGAAAGCCAGGCACATGACAGAACTGGGAACATCCACCACCAGGTCAGGGTGCTGTGGATTCAGCCCTCTTCTGTCCAGATTCCAGGTACAAACATAGGATTTTTCTGTGCTCCAGTCACCATCATCCAACCTGAAAAACAAAAAGCTACACCTTGCTTTGTGTGTTCCAGAGAATTCCAGTCCAACAGAGCTCAGAGATTCCCCACTGGTCACCTCAGTGTGTTGCTTTGGGTCCTGTCATGAAGGAATCATGAGGGAATGGAAGTTCTCTGGGGGCTGGTTTATACAGGATGTGACAGGGAACATGTCTGTGCTTACCTCAAAGTGGCAGCCAGTAAATTTTGGGTACAATTTCCCTATTCCAAGACCTACTAACTATTCAAATAATGGGAACAATCAAAAGGGTGCATATGGAAAGTTCATGGAAGGAATTCTGCTGACGATACCCACAGACACAGAAACAACATCCTCATCTGCAAACAGCTGTAGCTAACATACAGGTTTGCCCTGTTTCTCTCTTCCCTAAGCATTCTCTCATGAAAACCCTTTTTGCTGGGGTTTTAAGGAAAGTGGAGCATTTTAAAAGGCAGCAGTAGGGCCAAGAAAGAGGGGGCTGCTACAGACATTAATGGATTAGATAAGTGATTTGTGAAACCCCTATTTCAGAAATCCTTAAACATGTTATAACATGTCCATGGCACCAGGCACATGCATGAACAGGTGCCAGGTTCATTCAGGGTGCTCGGAGACCACATTAAACATCAAGATCTCAGTGAAGATAAAGTGCATTCTCCCAAACCTCACCTACAGATATTTGCAAGTGCATCTGCTCTTTACATTTTTCAAACAGAATCTACCTAGAAACAAATCAGTAAGATCATGTATCCATTTTCAGGGTGGGGGGAAGGTGGAAGAAACAAAAGATATAATTCAGGACTTGTCTGAGATTTTGTTACTTTGAAGATTAATAATTTAACTTTAAGGACTGTGTATAGATAGAGAGATATGTCAGTTTATTACTGCAGAGAAAACAAACATATCTAGACCTCAGGTCAGCCTGAGACATCACATCAGCCTCAGCTGCACTCCCAAATCCCTCCGGATACTCACCGGCCGTAGGAACATGCAATGACAGATCCCGTGGCATTCCATGAAACACTGGTGACCTGCAGGTTTTGATCCTGAGCCTCTGGGTATGACAATGTATGCAAACACAACACCTGGAAGAGAGCAAATCCAAGCACTGAGGCAACAGTCTCTGAACAGAGAGAAATGAGATCCGTGCCCACCCCTGGTGTGACTGTGGGGTTACAGCGTGAGTTTTCCTCAGTCCAAGAATTTATGTGAAAAGGTTGTTGAACTCCTGTTGGGAAACAAACCCACAACACAACTGTCACTCAAAGACAACCTGTCAGAGAGTGCACTGCTCTGAAAGGCTGTGCCTAAGAATTTACAGCAGCTGCCAGGTGTGAGTTTGGCACTCGCTGAGCTTCACAAGTAACAGTTTGAAAATGCCAGTCCCAACATGTACTGTCTGATACAAACTGCTTCTATTCCTGAGCACCATGCACTAAACAAACCTTAGCAGGCAGAGCTGCCAACTCACTGACTGCAACTGTTCCTAGATCCCTGCTAGGCTGGAGTGCTCTGAAGGGGCTGAAGAAAAGCCTACACCAACTGCAGGCTTCCTCCTCTCACTGCTGCTACAGCTCAGTCACCAGCAGGAAGAACAGTTTTACCAAGCAAGGAGAAAGCTGAAAAAACCTCAAAGCAATCCAACTGGTAATGTTTAATTATTAGAACCTGGCAAGAACAATCACAGCAATAAGGACTAACAGCTTTGAGTAACTGAACTCTGCTTGGACCATGACCTGAATGCTGTCACTTACTCTTTCATCCTGATCTGTCCAGTGCACTTCAAAGCCATCAAAGGCATGACTTCTCCAGTTTTTATTTAGTTCTTTGATAACAGCATCCTCCACTCTCTGAAGGAATGACAGAAGCCCAGTGTAATCTACTTGGACTTCTTGCTGGAAGTCTTGGACAGCATCTTTGCTCTGTTCTGTCTGCACCGCAGCATCTCGGGCTGTGTGAGACTGTGCTGCAGCTTCTGCTGTTGAAATTTTCCCAGTCTGGCAAGTTTTCTAGTAAAAGAAGACAGACAGTCTATAATCCAAGCAGAAAAACCAGTGTTGCACAACGCATTTAAAGCACCTTCCCCTTCCTGCTGTTTGACATTCCAGCCCCTCTGCACAGCTCTGGTTCATGTTAAACACAGGGTACCCCAGTACCTGGGGGTCTTGGTGATGCGTTTGTGACCTTCCCATCATCTGATCGAGGCAGAGACGCCCGAATGCCCGTCAGACTCAGGCAGAGCTCTAAAGCACGGAATGGGAAGGACGGGAGAAGCCAAGAAGGCAGCGAGCTGCAGAGCAGGGAGCGAGCAGCGCACACGGTGACAGCGCTGCATCATCAGCTCTCCAGCTGCGGGGCGGCAGCCGCTCGGCTGCTTCTCTGCCAATTCGCCCGGGGGCTAAACCAGCGCAGCGCTGAGGGGCCAGAGCCGGCGGGCGGACACGGGCCCCGGGCCCGGCGCCAACAACTCCCGGAGCGGGAGGGCTCGGTCCCGGGCCGCGCTGGAGCCGCGGGACCTGCGGGGGGGTCGCGGACGAACAGGGAGGGGGCGAGTCGGGACACGATCGCAGAAGGTCCGGGGAAGGCGCAGCCTTGACAGCCGCCCCGTGCCCGGCCCGGCGGTGCAAGAGCGCGGAGCGGGGCCGCCCCGGGGGTCTCTCACCGCCTCGCAGCGCGCGCTCCGGGCGCTTCTCCACAGCGACTGCACGTCGGCACCGGGTGCCGTCCTGTCCGCGAACATGCCGGGAGCGGAGAGGGCCCGGCGGCACCGGGGGATCGGGAGTCGCTCCCGGGGGATCGGGAGTCGCTCCCGGCGGTCGCGGCCCGTGGCGCTCCCGCCGCCCGCGCCTCCGGTTCCCATGGAAACGGGCGCGCGGTTACGTCACCCAAGCGACGAGCCCGCCGGCCTGCGAGCGGTAAAGTGAGCCGGGCGGGGCCATGTTGGGGACGGGCGCGGGGCGGCGGTAGCTCTGTGCGAGAGAGCGGTACGGTCTTTCTCGGCACCTTCGTTAGAGCCATGAGTCCGGGGGAAGCCGCTTCTTCCCCTTCGGTCGCTCCCGCCGTAGCTGCGCTGGGGCCCGGCTGGTCCCGCCGCGCCGCCGGGGGCGCGGGTGGCAGCGCAGGCGAAGGGCGCCGGGCTGCCAGGAGTTAAGATGGCGGCGGGGCGGGGGCGACAAAGCCGAGAGCGCGGTGGAGAGCGGGGCCCGGGCCGCCGTGTGAGGGGAGCTGCACTTGGCTGTCACCGCGGGGCTGCCCGGGAATGGGGCCGGCTCAATGCGCACGGAGCGCCCGGGGTGTGCTCTGGCCCGTTGCTTTGCCCGCTACCGTCGTTGTTTTTGCTGGGGCAATGAAGTAATTGGCGCCGAGGGTGAATCACTGTGCGGCCGGGCTGGCCGCACGCCCGCGGGGCTGCTCTCCGGGAGCCACCCGGCTCCTGGGTAACAGTCCCTGCATATCCTGTGCCGTTCCTGTCCGCAGGGACAGGGGCTGGTGGCGGAGCTTCTTTAAGTGATTATTCCTAAAAGGAATGACTCTGCTTGGAGATTTTTTTCTAACTAACTCATTGGAACAAGTTGATGATGAATGCACAGGCTAAATTTAGTGCTGGCATAAGCAGGCACAGATGCACCAACTTCAGTGGAGTTATTCTGGCTGTTGCTGGGAAGGAGTCTGGCCTGTGTGTAGGAATCAAGGCTGCAGGATACAGAGTGGGAGCTCAGCAGAACTCGGCAGTGCTTTCACCTCTTGAGCCCATGTGAGTCCATTCACTCACAGCTGAGTGCAATGGTTCTGCTGAGGAATTTAAAGTACTACACAATTAACAGTGAAGTAAGAGTCCCTAAAATGAATGGTAAAGAGCTCTTATAGCCCTTTTATAGACAGTGAAATGAGCAGAACAAGGTTCGGTGGCATCTCCTTCAAAAGCAAAAAGTCTCAATGGAACTGAGTCCTCTAGAATTTCAAATCCTGGCTGGAGTGGGCCATCATGATACCCCACAGAAGACACAAGAACATAAAAGCATAAACACCCTTGGGCTGGACTGATGGCTCTTTTAGCCCTGTCATCTCTCTCTGATCAGCACAGGAGTTAATCTGAATTTCCAGAGTTCAAGCTTGGCATCTCCAGCAGCAGCTGGTTCATGTGGAAGCGCGAGCAACGGCAGTCAGAGACTGTCTGGATGTAACTGAGCCTTTTCCCAGCTCGCTTCTGCAGGCAGGCTCCTGGCTTTGGGTCACTGCATGGGGCAGCTTTTCATGTGTTGAAAAACTGATAATAAATATTTGAACCCAACAGCAGAGTAGTTTTCTTAAAAGGGCCTTAATATTTAAGATTTATCCTCTATAAATAGATCATCTTCAGTCATCAATAAATTATCTTTAATTGCTATGATTAGAGCTGCCAAGGCATATTACTCTTTAGTAAAGGAGTAAATATTATGAGTGTGAATTAATACACAGGCTGCATCATCGTAAAAATGCTAAGCACAAACTGCAATTTAGAAACTTTAAATAACTTGTCAGGGGGAACTTAAGGAGAAAAGTTTGTGGGTTCTTGAGATGGCAAAGAGATAAGAAAACTGGAATTTAGGTATGTGAAACACAGAAATCAATTTTTTTTTTAGCCAGTAGTATGCAAAGTTATTGCAAATGTAGAACATGTTCCCTGTATCGTGGTGCATGTCCGGGCTCTTTCTTCCCTGAGGATGAGAAAGGAGCAAACAGCTCCAGACAAGGACTGTTTTAAGTAACTGCACTTTGATCCTTTATTCCAATTTCTCTGATTTGCTGGGGTTTCAATATATCAAAGGTATTTCAATGAAATCTTACATTGCTTTTTTTTCCCCCTGGCCTGACAGTATTAGATATATGGATGTTTTTGTCTTCACATCATCAGAAATAAGGCAAAATCGGGGATGAGTGGGGGAGGGATGTTGCTTGCCTGAGGCTACCCAGTCTCTTTTAAGTGGCTGCTTTTACTGGGCTGATCTGTGCTTTTTCCTCCCAGTTTCATGAGACAAAGTGTAGGAAGTTTTCACTTTTACATAATGGAGCAAATCAGCATCAAAAAACAACAAGAGAAGGTTGAGGTAAAGAGAAAACAAAAACAAAAGCGAGGGGAAAAAAATCAGAAAAAAGCTGCACGCTAGCGTGTGATCGCTGTGACCTGAGCAAAAGAAATACTCGGAGCTGCATCTCGGTAAGAATTCCCCCACTAGTGGGTGCAGTCGCTGCCCTCGATTTGTGATAAATGCAACTGTTCAGTTCTGTTGAGGCTCCAGACAGGCGAAACAGGAGATTGTACCCGAAAACGAGAGTCGTAACTGAGCCTTCTCCTTTTACACCTTCCCCTCCATTCCTTCCCCCCCAGACAGATGCATGTAAAGAGGAATAAAACAACAAGCACAGATCAATCCGGCCATGAGAGAGTTCTTGGACTTCGTCTGGCAGGGAGTGGCTTGACAGGGGATCGAAGGTATTGCCTTGGCGTTTGATGACTGTTCAGAGGAACAGAACTTTATACGTATTCTCGTTTATTCATAGCAAACCACAGCCAACAAACAAAACTCTTCAACCAACAGCAAGGGTTTGTTTCAAAGAATTGGCACTCCAGAACCTACTTGTTTCTCCAGCTTCCATAACCAGCAAGACCTAATGCTGCTCCCTGACAGTTCCCGTCCTGCCTGAGCACTGCTGAACAGCCCGAGGTGACAGATGTGATCTGCCTGAGGGCTGGGTGCTGAACTACTGCCTTTGCATTAACCAAAGGATGTAACCTGGAGTTTGAAGTGGCTTTATGCTGACATTTTGTGCTTGTTATTTGAGTATGGACAATATTGGATCAGTTACTCCCATGTTTCTTTTTTGTTAGAAATTCATGATTTTGAAATTCACCAGACCTTGAGGGAAGTGAGGTCCCCACAACTGTCAGTGTTGAACCCATGTCCGTGTACCCCACCAGGTGCTCTGTAGCTTGATGAGGGTTCAGGTCCACGTGTGGACTCTGTGTGTTACCTCAGGCTGTGTGAATCCCCCAGCTACTTCTTTTCCAGTGCCATCTGTAACGGGTTCGTGCATTTTCTCTAATTTGTGACCTCCTTTTCCCTGTCCCCCCTCTCAAATGTCCCTGCAAATGCTGTGCCCTTTTTGCTTTGAAAACCTATTTTTCCTTCTTAGCAGAAAACGTCAGCTTGCTTCTGAAGTCCTGTTATACCAAAAGACATGATGCATTATCAAAAGAATCCATCTCCATTAAAATCATGGCCTACTGTGCTTTCAGAATTAGTCGGGGGTTCCTCATAAATATGGGTGCGGTTTCTTGCCCTGTACAGGTATTGTCTATTCCCTATTCACTCCTTCATGATTAATAACAAGACAAAGATTTTAGTCCCAGGAAGGAGCAGGGGGGAGCTCTGTGGCAGGTGGCAGCAAGTTACCGCCACAGGGGCACAAAGGCACTGCCGGCAGGGTTGGAATGGCAAGCAGAGCTGGCACGGGGCCGAGTGCCATGGATTGTCCAAAGAGGCATCTGTGAAAGGCTCAGGATCCTCAATCCTTGCTGCCATGGTGCTCTGAACTCGGTGGCAGCTGGGAGTCTCTGCCTTGGCCAGGGGGTTGCTGCTGTCAACAAGGTGACTGGCAGTGTCTGTCTCCTTTTGGTCTCAGCAGCCTCTAGTTCCTGCTGAGTTTGTACCAGCACGTCCAGCATCTCATCTCAGACATAAAGGTACAATCTGCTGTACACTCCTCAAAGGTACCTCACCCTTTGCAGCGCTGACAGCATGAAAGAAAACAGAGATCCCTTAAATTAAACCCATATTCAGTAACCATGCATGACTGAAAATTAGTTATCTGTTCTGCACATCACTTCATCAACTCATATTGCATCTGTAGTGTCTCAAACCGTTGTTGGAATTTTAACTGCTACGTTTAAAGCCAGTGGCTATATTAGAAAGCAATGTGGACACATATTAATCCTCTAAACAGAACTGGCTCTTCTTTGCAAAAATGGTTTCAAAATGCGACATTCAGAAGTAAGTTGTTATGTTCCACTGGGTACCATCAGATTTGTGCTTGTGTAAAGCAAGCAAGCAGAATTTGCATGGTAGGTCTGGGTTGCTCTTCAGAAATCTCTGTATTTATTCAATTTCAAGCATGCCACTTTAATTTCTGAGACATTATTTGTATGGACACTGAACGTTCAACAAATACATCTTAGTTTTATTTGGGTATGGATATGCAATTTAAGAGTGGAGAACAAAAACATGTTCCTACCAAGTTAGCTAATGCAGCAGGAAAGACAGATTTGCAAGGACTCCTTTTACTGATATAAATTTCACCTCCATTTAGAGAGTTTGCATATTGCCAGATTAGCTAGACCAGCAAAAGCACTTCCTGTGAAAGCCACTTCTTAAACAGCAAATAAAAATATCTCATTTGATTTTTTTTTATCCCAAGTATAACAGAAATTACAAGGAATCCTGGAACGTATTATACAAGCACAGAGAGATAACTTTACAAACTTATGCACTGCAGAAAGATTATCACCTTCTCAAAAGCACATGGAAGATGAAGGGAAGCAGAGTACCTTGTATAGACAAATTGGATATGTCAGTGCAAGTGTTTTAACTGCTCGCAGAAAATGCCAAGTGATTTGTAATGATCACTTTCTTTTTATCGCCTCCCTTTATCTTGTAGCAGAGTGACAGTCTGGTTCTGAGAAATAACAGAATGAACCACCCATACAGCCTGTTTCTGTAACTTCTTTCTTCAGTATATATGTAGGGTTCCCAACACAAGTGCTGATCCCAGTCCAGCTTGGAAAAAAAAAGAAAAAAAAAAAAGGGAAAACATGACAAAACAGGGCTTAAGCAGCATGAATGTGGCTCTCTCTGGAGAAGTGTAAAAGACAATTGCACCAATTACATGCTGGTTTTGGAACTCCGTGTAGCCTAAGCCTATTGAAATATATATTTGTGAGGGGAAGGAGGATGCTCTGGAATGAGGCCTGGAGCTGGAATGCTGTCGTAAAGGCAGCAGTAGGAGGGAGAGCTGTAAACTGGCTGCAGTCCTCAAATTTAAAAAAAGGTCCGGAAACATTTAAATGCCAAATTATGTGACACCTTTCATTCCTGTTTTTTCTTTTGTCCTTAATTTTCCATTTAATTGACTGAAACTTTTCCTATTTATGCCACCAACTGTGTAAGCTGGGCTGACTAAAGGCATTTTTATTTTTCTCTACTCTAGCCTGACAAACTGCTTATGCAACAGCTTACACCTTTAATAACACCAATAAAACTGCATCAGAACTTTTTAAAAAACACAGATTTCTTAGCATCAAGGCCTGAGAGAACTTGCTGCAGTGCTGGCATGTGACAGGAGGCAATTTATAAGGAATTAACTCTGACAGTCACTTTATACAGCTGATTTTCAAAGATCTAGGCACTAAAGATGTGTTAATGAGGGTACTGAGGCTTCATAATTAATTATATTAGCATCTCTTTGTTACTCTCTACAACGGTAGTGGCTGGTTGACATTTCAATGGGAGTCTGGTGGTATTCTTTGTGATTATTATCCAGGAGTACAGTTATACCTTAGCTCCCAGAGGGAAACGTTGCATGTAAATGCCGCTGTGAATTGCAGGGGCTTTTGGAGCTCAGTAAAAGCCCTTGAAGGAGACCCCGCTGGAAACTGAATGGATGTCAGTAAAATTTCTTCAGTCTGGAGTCTCTCTTCAGATATGGACTCTCCTCCCCCTTCCTTTCCCTCCCCCCTTCCTTCCACTGAGCTGGTCCTTCTCACAAGGCTTAAGAACAGCAACATCCAGCCCTTGCTGAATGTCGAGTTCCAGACCCCTGAAGGAAGGAATACTGACCTGAACAAAGCAGTGAACAAAGTAAACCTGAAAATAGGGAATATTTTCATAGGCTTGAATTTTCAGTGCAATAAAACCAGAGCTGCCAGAAGGAGTCCCAGAAGTGGTGAGTCAGATAATAGATGTACGGCTGTGGTGGGAGGGAAATGGTCTCTACTTTGTTTTATACCACCCCACCCCCCCTTTACAAAGGCAGATGAAATTATTTTCCAGTCATACCACTGCAAAAACAAACATGGAGTTTAAAGGTTATTTCCTTTGTGTGTTTCTGAGAGACATCAGTTTTGACTCCAGAGGGGAAAGGAAGATGTTTTGTCAATGACCTCAATTTCTACTCTGAAAGTTTTTACAGTATCACCTGAGGTGGCAGAGCTGCTCTTTTGTTTACTGATATATTCACTTGTTTGTGTCAATTAAAAAAAAAGTACAAAACCAAATTGCTGTTTTTTCACACCAGTTGCAGTTAGAACCTTGTTGTGTTTGGGCTCAGTTAAGGGCACAGAGTGACAAACACCTCTGCTGAGTGAAACTTGTGCAACGTGTTCCCCACTCTCATTGCTGACTTCGTGGGACTCTTACTTGTAACATTGTTCCTGCATCTGCACCAGGGAACCAGATCAGAGTACTAGTCTGAGTTTTAAAAAAAAGGGGTTGTGGGGACTATTTCTAATTGAAATCAGATTCAGATTCAATGTAACACACACAAAAAGAAAATCACTGGCACAATGCAGGAACAATGTAAAGGGGAAGAGGGGAGGAATGTGTGGTGGCGAATGCGTAAGTAGGAACTTCTACCAAAAAATCGTTTGTCAAACCATGCCCTGAAAGACTTGACTTTCTTCCAAGCCAGAACCACTCTTTGCTGTGTGTGCAGGTAGAACCTTGCATCCAGAGATTACAGCTGCAGGACTCTCAGAGCTATTGTAATACCAAAAAATAATAGCTGTTCCTACAGACTGACACAATTAACCAAATTCCACTCCCAGATCATAGTTGGCAACTCATGCAGCATTTTATGTAGCTGAAGTTGGAGACCAGTTCTGTTCCTGAGTTCCATCTCTGGCTCTAATGAGCAATAACTCTGCATAACTCTGGCATTCACTTCACCTACCAGTAAAAGAATTACTTTCCTCACAGAGCTTTTTACATTGAACCAGATTTTTAAAATAAGCTTTGACATTCTCAGATGAAAAGAATAATGTGCACAATATATTATGATAGCAAAAACTGTATATGACAGATTCCTACATGTTTTCCTGTCTTTTGTCTCACCTTTCCTGTCACCATACTCCTACATGGGACTCAATACACACCGTGAATGTTTGAGTAACGCCAACTTCAAACTAATGAATTGTAATTAATGTACTTGTTCTTTGCTGAGCAGTGTTGTGTGTGTTTATTTTTATCTGATACTTTTTGGATAGAGACAGAGGTTACTCCCCCTGAGAGTTCAAATATCAATAGTGCTCTACATAACAAGGGAAGTTTTTAAGGATTCCCACAAAACCGCTGCCACTTGGTAACAAGACAATGGTCCTGAGTGCAAAATTTACACTGAGTGTAAAATTTTTGCCTCTAGTTCTACTCCCAAGGGACCAAATCTTGAAGTATAGTCAACTTTGCCTAGGATTCAGCAAGAGTATTCCTGCTGTAGGACTGAGGAGATGATAAATAAGAGTTTTAAGAACTGGCCAGAGTTAAAATCCTGAAGAGCAAACATTTATACATTGACTCTGTAGAAATGTTGTCTCCCTTTTAATTTCCCTATAAGTGGAGAAGATGGAGAGAATCTTGGGTGTATCTCTTTGCAGAAGCACAAGGTACAGTTTTATCTCATCCTCAACATGTCTGAAAAGCTTATGCCTCATGTTCAGAAATGTCTAAGGTTCCACTGACTTTCAATTTAATATTTTAAAGAGTATTTTGACTGCCTCTTTGCATCTAGTATCTGGGAACAAGCACAGGTGTTATGTAACCATACATCTCTTCATGGATTACAAGCAGGTGCTCTGGTAAGTTAGAGATGGTGTAGAAAAAGATAAAAGTCAGGTTTAGCAACGATGTCTAATGGATATTTAATAAAAACAAAAACAAGTACAAATAGGATCACTGTATTTATTCAGTGACATATTATTACAACAGTCACTGCCTGTTGTCTGTGTTACTGAACTGCTGTCCTGCTTCAAGGCAATTATCAGCCCCAAAATGTTTTCATCCAAAGGTTTAAACTGCAACAACTGTGAGGACATGTGGAAGATTCTTCTGTCATTATCTCATGCTTCAGTTCTAACATGAATGCTTGACTGGGATGGCCTGTGAGTAGTGGAGATGAATAAACAGTTGGAGCTGGTATTTGACTGGTTAACGTGTGTGCCAAAGCGTGTGTGTAGAGCCGGGGAGGCTCAGCAGTTCCTGGGGGCTGTCACACTGATCTCACACAGCAAACCAGCCCTGAGCCTCTGCCTGTGGCTCCCAGCAAGCCCTGATGTGCCAGTCAGGCTTTGCTATCAAGTAAAAGCTTGTGTGTTCTTGAAATGTGCCTTCAACTCACAGGTGTGCTCAGTGACTTGAAAGCTTTCATACACTCTAAAAACTTGTCTTGCACTCCAAGGAGGAATCTTTGTTCTTAATACAGAGCCCAAGCCTGCAAGTTCTCTGTGGAAAACCAGGCTCCCAGCATAGATGTACAGTTGTTAAGCAGTTTCAGCAATGGTAAAATGATCCCTGCTTTGTATTTCTCTACAATAATTTCCAATTCTTTGGGACGGAAGGCTGTGAAACCATGAGTTGCTACTAATTACATTGATTTACTTGGATGATGGTATGTACACCCATTTTGCCTTGCAGAAATACTTAGGGGGAGAGGTACTCTTTTTCACACATCACTGCATTATATTGGAGAGGATTTTAGCATGTTTTCTGATTTCATTTGCCAAATTGGGGGTTCAAGTTTACAATTTACAGCTGACTTGACAGTCCAGAAAGTACATGATTACCAGTTATGTCTCTGTCTTGTAGTAACATATCTAACCAAGGAAAGAAACACTGGAGATCTGAGCTTTAAGGAGCAAATATGAAATTTCCTTTACAAAGAAAGGAAATTGAGTCTGTTTAGTCAATTCTTGAGGAAAATGTGCAGTTATAATTGTACATTTAAACCCTCAATAGTTATTCAAGAACTCAAAATGCCTTTGAGGTTAGCTACAGGTCATGAAAATATTAGAAAGATTTGAAGGGAGGTAACTGAATATTTATCAAAAAACCCTCTATATTTTTGGGGGTTCTTTTGTTACTGTTTCAGAAATATTTAACTCATATTCTTTTACGTGTATTTATATTGTTTTAAATATTTATATATAATCAATATACCCTTTTTTGTTGATAATAGCTAATTTTAGAGTAGCTAAAACAGATCTTGGAACTTTTTTTAACAGTACAGCAGTTAAAATTCATGATTACTTGGTTTTAGATACATCAGAGTATCACCATAACCGTGTACTTCAGGAATACCTGGTAATTTATAGACTGAACAGGGGGTTCTGGTAGGGAACTGACAGTGCCTCTTGTTCCTGCTTGGAATTAGATTTCAAACTTGCCACCTGTATTGCAAATTATAGACCCTCAAGGACTAATCTAGAGAAAGACAATATAGTAAATTACAGGTGAAAAAAGAGGTAAAAAACCCAAGCAGATACAACTGCATAGTCAAGAGACCCAAATGAAACAGAAGGAAGAAAATCAAGCTGCACACACGAGTTTACCTTATTTGAATTGGAAGATATCCATATTAATCAATCTTTGGAGATGCAGAGAGAATAAAGAAAGAGTCATCTCGCTGTGATGGGCTTCAGAAAGGCCTTGAGACATCCTCTCCTTGGGGAGGATTTCATAATCTTGCATTTATAAAGTTGTGATGCTTTGCTTACCTTTCATGCCCAGCGGTTACAATTGCTGTGTGTGAAACCAGAGAAGTAAGGGATGGCAGCTCCTCTCTCCTGCTGTTTGCACAGGGAAGCACAACACAAACCCTGGGAAGCACAACACAAACCCTGGGAAGCACAACACAAACCCTGGGAAGCACAACACAAACCCTGCACATGCCACAGCCCTTGTGGGTGGCAGTGGAAGCGAGGACATAGCCGGTGGGAAGTGACAGCTGGGAATACAAAAGAGAAAAACAATGGGGATTTGGAAGCAACAGGTGGGAGTAGGATTCAGAAAAGTACAATCAGGACTTCTGAGGAGGCAGGAACTAATCCAGGCCTCATTGAGTAGGTCCAGTAGAAGAACAGCTTGAAGAGGCAAAACAGGAAGACTGTGCTAATGTTGCATGACTGGGGAAGCAAATACAGACAACAAACTCCTACTTCATCAAAACTCTACTTGTTTCTTAACCCAGCCTGTATCCTAGCACTCATCTGTGAATGATATGCTGCTGCTTTTGATAGAAACTCTGACTTGGCTATTCCTTTAAGAGCAAAGGCTGTAGCTGTGGAGCTGCACTGAGCTCTTCCATGACAGGTGGACAGGAAAGGGACAAAAAGGGTTATTTAAAGTCGGCCTGCTCTCGGTGCAGTGGCAGGTGTACTGGCAGGCAGCTCTGTGACCTTCTGGGGTAGAGCTCGCCAGTAACTGAGCTGGATGTGACTGACAGGGCTCTGTGCCTTCAACACAGAATGTCCCAAGTTATTTATATGGGTTTGTTTAGTCTCGGGAGGCTCGGGGGCCCCTCATTGCTCTCCACAACCACCTGAAAGGAGGGGTGGGGGCCGGGCTCTTCTGTCTTGCCTGCAGTGAGAGGCCTTAAGATGAGATGGGAGATTCTGATAAGATATTTGAGATTTTTTCCCTGCTAGGGTGGCCACACTTTGGAATAGGCAAAGCCACCATCCCTGGAGGAGTTCAAGACATGTCTGGATCTGGTTCTGGGTGATGTGCTCTAAAGCTCTGGAGGTTACAGTGGTTGTACTGGGTGAACATTGGACATGATTTCTTAAAGGTCTGTTCCAACCTTGCTGATTCCTTGATTGTTTTGTGCCATGTCCCAAGTAAGGCAGGCAGCGCAGGGAGACGTGGGTGCACATCCCCAGAGCTGGAAACGCGACCGCACTCCCGGCAGGGAAGCGCTGAGCATAGAACCGGGGGAACACCTCACGCAGCGGGACCGCAGCCTTCTGAGCACCATCTGGGGGCCGGGGGTCCCGAAATCCATTCCTGCCCCTCGATGTCTCCCGGTGGGGAGAGGGGACGGGCCCCATCCCGGCCGCACCAAGGGGTCGGTGCCTCCGCGGGCCGTGAGGGGACGGGGCGGAACTCACGGGGCCTCGCGCGCGCCGCCATAGCGAGGGCGCGCGGGCACGTGGAGCGCGCGCATGCGCGGCCCCTTCACCTACACACCCGGCGCGCGCCGCCGCCCTCCCGCGCGCGCCGTCCTCTGTGTCTCCGCGGCGCGGCCACGCCCCCCCAGCGCTCCCCGACCAATGAGCGCCCGGCTTGGGGCGGTCGGGGGGCGCGGCCTCTCCACGGCTGCGCACGCGGGACCTCCCCGGCGTGTGTGTGTGTGCGGAGAGCAGTGCGCCTGCGCATCGCACCGCCCGCGGCACAGCGCGCCCGGGGCGGGGGGCTCGGTGCGCACGCGCGGTGCGGCG